AAAAAGATGCAGGATTATCTTTTGGAAGGAAACAACAACAGTGATCTGCAGAGAAACTTTGGAGTGAAAGAGGCAAAATAAATTTACAAAGTAATTTGTTAGAACAATCGCAATGTAAGGAATACTTCATTCCAATTATTCTCTAAGTCTTTTTACTGGTGTTTTCTATCATAAAAAACAATGTCAGGTCTCCGTGGACAGTATTTGACAATCAAAATCAATAAAAAGAAATCAAACTTCATCTAAACTTCAATGCATAGATTAGAGGTCAAAATCGTTTCTACTACCTGAGAATAAAAAGATATGTCCCAGCGATCACGATAGGAGCTTTGGCAAGCACTTTATCCTGGAGACGAAGGAAATTTTGAAAGAATATTCGCAGGGCCTAAAATAGGGTGATAAATAAATAATAATAAACGATATGTTAAATATAATATTGAGCCAGAGGTATAAAAAGTTTTGCTATGCTGTTGTGTGATCACGTGATGAGTTACCGACCTAGTTAATTCACGTTTTATGGTTAGGTGGCACCACTGGCTTGTTGTAGCTATAAAGTCTAAAACAATAATTAATGATGAGAGGAAGGAATACCGTTGAATACTGACAAAAAATCAATAGTGATGGACATCAAGCTAATTCAGTTGAAATAAAAACGAACGCGAGACTTTTTATGCAGTCCATGCCCTTTTATGAATCGATCGATGCTCTACATATGAAGGAAGTATAAGTTTAACTTTATCTTCTACTGCTGCTATAAGCTGAATTGTCGAAGAAATAAGATAAGGCGAAGAAATGATGAAGATTCATCAAGATTGCAGTCTTCTTTCGAAGATATGTTAACCGAAGAGGATTAAAAGTGGCACATATCAAGGTAAGAGGTTTAACCATGGAGGCACACATCCACGCTGACCGTGTCTCGATCTTCTCGTCCCACATCTAAATTCTTAGACTCAGTGCAGTCGCCTCCCTGCTTCTTTGTTTTTGACAACAAAAACAAAGACCGCGAATACTTGGCCACCTTCCACGAATACTTGGCGTACAGTATGGATGAATTTACAAATAAAAAATTTTCTAATCAACATCTTCCTCCGATTTCAGGTGTCATATGTGTGCGAAAGATTTTGATTTCATGGCAATAAGAACACTGGAATTGTTTTTTTAAGTGACTGAGGCCTCAAAACGTTAATAAAAATTACAATTTTTCAGATAAATTTCAGTAAAAGTTGGAAACTCCTCTAATCTCCTCTTAAGTTTAGTCATTTCCAAATCAGCAACAATTTTGCTGCTATAGTATATAGTAATGTTTTAGATCTAAAATAGGATAGACATTTAGCTTATTTATTATCTTAATTTCCATATTTTGCCCCCTCCAAATAATATCTATTCGTAGGAAAATTAGTTATGAGAGAACTAAAGATATCACAGCTATAACGTAGAAATCTTGTGCGAGCATTTCAACCTGTATGTGTACAGTTTGCAAGAAATTGCCCACGACGGAATATATGCAATTACTGCCATTGAATACACTAACTAGACATGACAGCTTAAGTAGAGGTACAGTTATTTGTTCTATCGTCTCCGTGTTACGCGTTTCACGTGAACCAGCTAAATCAAAACCTTTGAAATAATTAATTTTAAACTATAATTTAAGACTCCACGCATTTTCATAGAATATTATTAACATATAAGAAATGAATTCTCTTTAATTTCTACGAACTCCCTAAGAATTGCTTACAACTCAGCTCACAAAATTTTGTTGTTGATTCAAGTGTAAGGCACATGTCAACATGCAGTTCCAGCCCCTGACCAATAACGAATGCGATTCCACGACAAAAGTTACGAGTACAATAGAATATAACGCAATTAGAGAAAACGATGATATTAAAAGTTTTAAAATCGATATTCTAATATGAAGTCAGATTTTTTATTGAAAAATCTTGTTCATAGAAGCTATAGAAATTTGATGAAACAAATCTCATATTATCAAGACGATTTTTTTTTTACATTTTTCTAGAAGCCTCTATCCCGCACAGAGCTGTCAACGAGATAATTTTTTACTGTTTTTTTACGAAGAATAATTGCTCAAGTATTTACTTGGTATCACCTGTGACGACGAACATTGTTTGAAGTTCATGGGCTGTCAAAGCGAACGAGACAACGTCTCATCAGCGGGGCAGTTCTTGGCCGGGATGCAAGTCGTGTGGTTGCTGCCGTACTTGGCACACAGCGGATCGACGGCTGCTTCGCTTGCTGCAAATCAAACAAAAATAATTAGTGGGTAGTCACTTTGGTTCCGTGCTAATAAAAATATCAAGAATTCACTAATGCAATAATATTAACTATGAAATTAGAATAAGATGTATTCAAGATTCACGACAATTTTTAAGATAATTTTTTTATACAAGATAAACGTTATCTTTGTTGATTTGACGAGGTACTAGCGATATCAGCATTAACCTCCTAGACAAAATTATACTACTAGAAAAACATTAAAAACGTTTGTTGTCTTATTATTTAATTCAGTTGCGGCTGTTTTATCGTCGATGCATTAGCAAGAAAATGCAGGATAATTATCTTTTGGTAGGGAGCAACAGCAATAATATGCGGATAAACTTTGGAATGAAGGAGGCAAAAAAAATTTACAAAGTAATTTGTTGGAATAATTGCAACGTAAGGAATGCTTCAGTCAGACTATTCTCCAAGACTTTTTACTGTTGTTTCCTATCATAGAAAAACAATGTCAGGTCTACTTGGAAAGTCTATGACTATCAAAATTAAGAACAAGAAATCAAACTTCATCTCAATATCAATGCACAGATTAGGGGTTAAAAACGTTTCTACGTACTGAGAATGAAGAGACATATCCCAGCGATCACGATAGAAGTTTTGGCAAGCGTTTTAAACTGGAGACGAAGAAAATTTTGAAAGCAAATTCGAAGGGCCTAAAATAAAATACAATATTATTTGCATATAAGGATTGAATTCTCTTTAAATTCTATGAACGTCCTAGAAATTGCTAACATCGCAGATCACGAAATTTCGTTGTTAATACAAGCGTGAGGCACAGTTAAACAGTTTCAGCCTCCGACCAATAACGAATGCGATATAACAATAAAAGTCACGACTACAATAGAATCAACAGGAATTAGAGAAAACAATGATATTGAAACTTTTTAAAACGTATTTAATTTGGAGTCAGATTTTTATATGAAAATCTTGTTCATAAATCCATAGAAATGTAATGAAACAAATCTCTTATTGTCAAGACGATTTTATTGAGCAAATTTTTCTAGAAGCCTCAATGCCGCACCGAGCTATCAAAGGAATAATTTTTTACCGTTTTTTTACGAAGAATTTTTGCTCAAGTATTTACTTGGTATCGCCTGTGACGACGAAGATTGTTTGAAGTTCATGAGCTGTCAAAGCGGACGAAACAACGTCGCATCTTGCACAGTTTATTCAATTTATTTGTTTCATCAATCATGAGAAGCCTAGCAAGAGAAATGTGCTGAATACGATACATATTTTTTTGCAGGACATTTAATTTTTTTCGCTCTATTGGAAACGAACAATAAAATATTGAAAAACTCTCCTCAATGGAGGCGGAAGTTTATCGTAATTTGTTCCGATCCTGTGTTTCAATTGCAACTCATGAATTATTTTTTAGTAGAATGTTGCAACCTGTCGCGTTGATATTTTCGCATACATCAACGCCACGAGCAAGTAACTGTACACTTTTTCAGTCGTTGTCTCTGAGTAGGGTACACGTAAGCCATAATTTTAGGCGCTTCAATCAAAAGGAATTCGGTTTCCAAATAACAAAAAGGCAAGATAAAAAACTCAACAAGAAATAAATATGAATGCATAACGTGAATACGGAATAAACATACGGTTCTTCTTCCTTTATCGGTTACGAAGCTCGTCATGGTCCGTACATTTTTTTGTCACCCTATTATATTGCTTTACCTGTCCAGGGCCTATACTTTCAAAAAAAGTTAAGAGATCGTACGTTCATCAGCCAATCATTGACGGCCTTTCAAGCAAAATCCAGCAATCATAGACAAGAAAATAGAGCGTAAATACTTACGTTCACTTAGCGAAATTTGAAAGTATAGGCCCAGGTATTTTAGGCAGTCAAGTAATCGTAAATTTTGGAATGACTTATGCTGTACATAATAAATATCTGGCATTCGTTTCTAACGCTTTCTTGAACAATTGCTGAAGTCTTTCAAGTTTAAATTCAATATGGACTTTTATACCTTCTTAATATCGTTTCGAGCATCCCCCAATCCCAATAGTTTTAAAATGTTTCTTAGGTCAATTAGATCGTGTTGGCTTCTCTGTCACGGAACATCAATGCAAGGTGAAGTTTTGCTTTTCATATTTATTATTATGTTCAGTAGGCAGTCCATGAAATTATTAGAACGCATAAGTTTTCTGTAAAAATTCTATAAATCTTTAATTTCTATTGAATACTCTTCCGACATCTCTTTCTGAAAGCGTTCATCAGATGACTGTGGAGTTGCGAATTCCATTGTATTCAATTTGCTGAGACTAAAATTTTAGAAATGCTTACTTTAGTGATCCCATATTTTGTTACGATTTATAGTGATGTGAAAAATGAAAAACTCACTCCATGCAAGATATATTAATAAACTATATGCTAAGCTTGAAAATAAATTGAAGCGAATCTACAGCATGGGCGTTTTACTTCAGGATCAGGATGTTTACAGTTTTTGTGTAAAGCGTTTTGTTTCAGGTAAGTATTGAACAATTCAACTTGGACGAGGACCGAAAATCCTCCACATCACCACATTTTGCACGTGTTCGAATCGAACATTCGCTCAAATGGAGTGAATTGTCGAAATTCTAATCTCTGCCATTACTTTGCAAACGTCTCAAAAATTTGGCATAAAAATAATGAATGTATACTAAAATTAAAATAATAAAAAATGTTTCAGAGCCAACAAATCTGATTGATACTTCCACTCCAAGAACAATGACTGAAACTCATGGATTATTTTCATCACTCGGCGCAGAGTCCAGGGTAGTTGGTGGACGGTTTCTTGCAGGCTACAGTGGTGCTGTAGGGAGGCAGAGGGTTTCTGTTCTTGTCTACCATGTTGCCTGCGGGTCCGTAGTTGCAGATGTACTTGGCGCAGTAGAAATTATTCCATCCGTCCACCCAAGCACACTTTTGGTTATTGGTGAAGACTCCGCAGCCAACTTCTCGAGTCTCATACCACACAACCTTCGTATAAAGACGCAAATGGAGTAAGAAACGGAAATCCGAAGACATTTTTGCTATGAATTCATTACAACTGAATGTTTCTTTAATAATTTTGATATCACCACAATGTAAATTGTTATCAAAGATCGCGNACTGTCTCTTATACACATCTAGATGTGTATAAGAGACAGGTATTACACGAGCATATCGGGAGAAGTTATTTGGATTATTCTTCTTTAACTGCGCCTAATAATGTTAGAATGAAATCATTATCGATTTAGACCCAGACGAATATTTCATACTCACTTAGAACGAAGCAAGATATTCCGAAGAACGCGATTACTGTTTTGGCAAGCATTTCAACCTGAAAATGTAAAAATTTAAATATATTACACACTACCGGAAAAAATTTGAAACATATATATATATATATATATATATATTGAAACAAAAACCCGACCTTTTACTATTTTCAACACAATTGCACGTAGTTAACCGTATGTAATTAAATGAAGGAATTACCTGTACAATAGCAAAAAACGTACAAACGAGTTAGAAAATATTAATGCGTGAATTTCATGGATTAATTAAAGAGGAACATTTCGACAGATAAAATGTAAAGAGATCCTCGGTAGTTACGAAAGGTGAAGAATATTCAGGCTAAAATTTTAATATTCCGAATGGAACGTAATAATAACAATAAGAATAACATAGAAAATAATAATAATACGAAACGTAATCGTAACAATCAAATTACAAGTCACGACCTATAGAGGTTGATGAAGTGCAGTCAGGCTATTGTGTATCCAGGAAGGACTGAAGGACTGGTATCCTGGACAGGAAGGACTGGTATCCTCAGAGGTCAAGAACTTACTGAGAAGAGATGTATGTTGCACAGTAAGAACGAACTTAGTCAGGCCGTAAGTTATAATGTCTTTGTTCCCATTAGCGTGGAAGTTTTTATACAGGGTGCGGCGCGGGAACTTACTTATTTGAATTGCGCGCCACGTGGCGGCCATTAGTCCTAGGAAGGTGGCGCCATGCGCAATATGTCAAGTCGTGTGGTTGCTGCCGTACTTGGCACACAGCGGATCGACGGCTGCTTCGCTTGCTGCAAATCAAACAAAATAATACGTTTATTGTAACTTCTTTTTCGTGCTAATAAACATATTACACATTATTACATATTACATATATTACTGATAAAAATAAAAGTTTAAAAACAGTTCGAATATTCTTAGACTTTTCAAATTAAACTTTTAGAATTAAAAAAATTACTAGTATAAGCATTACAGGAGGAGTATACCAGGAAAAATTATTTGGATGATATTTTCAAATGCACCCAATAATGTTAGAATAAAATCATCGATTTAATTCCAGACGAATATTTCATACTCACTTAGAACGAAGCAAGATATTCCGAGGAACGCGATTACAGCTTTGGCAAGCATTTTAAACTGAAAATGTAAAAATTTAATTATATTACACACTGCCGAACAAAATTTGTAACTTAAATATATATTGAAACACAAACTCGACTTTTTAAGATTTTCAAAACAATTTCTTGTAGTTACCTGCAGATAATTAAATGAAGGAATTGCATGTACAATAGCAAAAAGCTGAAAGCATAGAAACGAGTTACAAAATATTAATCAGTAAATTTCGAGGATTAATTACAAGGAACATATCTACAGATACAAATAAAAGGAGATCCTTGGTAGTTATGAAAGGTGAAGAATATTTAGGCTAAAATTGGAACCTTCCAAAAGAAACGTAATAATAATAAAAATAACGTAGAATATCAATAATAATAATAATAATAATAATAAGAAGAAACGTAATCGTGATTTGTTATAATAAAATTAAAAGTCACGACCTATAGAGGTTGAAGAAGTGTAGTCAGGTTATTGTGTGATATATGGTAAGCACGGAACTCAGGAACTTACTGAGAAGAGACGAATGTTGCACCGGTACAAACGAGCTTAGTGAAGCCGTTAGTTACAATGCTTTTTTCCCATTAGCGTGGAAGTTTTTATACTTTTCCCTTTATCAGATTAAGATTTTGACAACTGTCACCCTTTAATGAAAACCAAACAAAATGACATCTCGAAGTATGCCCAAGTGAGTAAACGACAAACATCGACCAAGGGAACTTCGTCTCATGGAATTGCACGTGTGATATGTAGCATGGAGTGGAATGGAAAAGTACAGCTTCAGTAATTTCCTCGATCCACCTTTATGTTGCGTTTCATCAAGTGCGACAATCCTTCAAAACCCGTTAAAAGTCGCACAAGGTGATCAATTTTTATTTTAAAGAATATTCTCGTTCTCAGGTGTATGTGATTTACGAATAAAATGGCTAAAGTAGACAAGTGGGCGAAGCTAGACAATTACTCATATGGCATTGGATCTTTTGAAAAATACTTCAGCGGTGAATGTTTGCCATCAAGACGAAAAATCTGCATGCATGCTGAAATCGCGTTATTTGAAAAAAGTTGGATATAATTACATGGGTAATTTTTATATACAGCTAACACATAATGACATTAAGAGAAAATTAAGCTCTTGATCTGTATTTCAATCCTGTTGACTAAATTCACCCTAACAGGAATATACGAGTCCTGTGTACTACAAAACACCGTAAGATGTTAGAGAATAGTCACTCGTGACCACAGCCTGATTTTGCCAGGAAGTTTAACATATTAGTGATATATATATTTCAACATTGAGATTGAGATGAGCACTTTTATTCGAGTAATCCTGCCCTAAACTCAAGACGGACAATGTCGACGGTTTTACGCGCCAGCGCTATTATTTATCAGTAAAATATTCCTTGAAGCATTGAACTGGTTTTTCTTGCATGACTCAGAATTGGTCTTCTAGTCCATCTAAAACTTGATTGTGTTTGAGGGAGCCTGACTGCTATCCGCATGCCTTGTCATTCGCGGATTATAACCTTTAAACAGCGCTCTCTATGCAACCAAATTGAACACAGTTAGCTCCAAAATCTAAAAATTCGATAGGGAATTACATTTACTTCCATAGATCACCCTACCATGCATTTCTCTAGCGCCACCTACGCCTTATGGACCTCCCAGCTGGACACCATTATGTTTAACTTATTTATTTCATGTATGTATGATTTCTCAGTACTAATTAAATGCACCAATAAATGTTTTAATGTGTATTACAGCACTAAATCGGAGCAGCTGAAGCGAAAGACCAAACTGATTATCAGGTAGGGGAAGAATTGCAAGGGAATACAATACTTTCACACCTTTTGCATATCATCGGTTGCGTTTTGAAAAAGTTTTATAAAATTCCGGAGTTATCTAAAAAAGGCTGGCACAGTAGCTAGTTCTACAGCTTCAGCATCCTGTTGAAGAGGTGGAATTCAATATAATTTAAGTGTAAAAAAGACTCAGCGTCAGTAAAAAATACGTCAATGTAGACTTCTCTACGCAGCATTAAAAAAATATATGCGAGAATCGGGTTGGTTAAGGAAGAGCAAGATTTCTTCATGAATATAATTCGATTCTAGAAGCTTTTGTTTTAAATTGAAGTGCCAACAACACGATTTTCAACTGAAGATTTTGACGAAGAATAATGGCTCAAATAGTTGTTCAGCATCACCTGCAACAACAATGATCGTGTGTAGGGAATGCGTTGTAAAACTCTGAACGACACAAAGAAAACTTGGCACTGTTAAGTTTTTTTCTTCTAAGAAAACTTTTCTTCTAAGTCTAAGTTTTCTTGTCAACTGAACGAGGCAAGAAAACTAGGCACTGAACTTAGAAGGCCTAGAAACGCAACACTGTTGAAATTCTCCCTTTTTCTTTGTGCGACTTGTACACTTGTAAGTTTGCTGAAAACAAATACTATGAATCATGTTCGTACGCATGATTCACTTAGAACAGCTGCACGACGGGAGGTAGCACCTCTGGATGAAATTCAAAAGATCACACAACAACACATCAAAACCTAACTAACTTTGGGCCAAAGTTATACCTTACTTCGCTGGCGGGACTGAATTCGGTGAATTTTTCATTAACATAGAGTTTTTATTTCAACACACAGTTAATACAAATCTGGTTAGTTGGTGGAAAGGTCAGGCAAATTTATTCTCCACCTTATGTCGGTATTCGTTAGGATATTTAATGATTAAAGCCTTGTCAGCCTCCGTAACTCCGCATGGACCTCCGTTGGCATCAGCGGGGCAGTTCTTGGCTGGGATGCAAGTCGTGTGCTTGCTGCCTTACTTGGCACACAGCGGATCGACGGTTGCTTCGCTTGCTGCAAATAGAACTAAAATAATTAGTGTGTAGTCACTTTGTTTCCGTGCTAATAAAAATATCAAGAATTCACTAATGCAATAATATTAACTTGGAAATTAGAATAAGATTTATTCGAGATTCACGACAACAATTTTTAAGATACTTTTTTTTTATACAAGATAAACGTTATCTCTGTTGATTTAGCGAGGTACTAGCGATATCAGCATCAACTTCCTACACTGTTAGAAAAATTCCCGTTAACGGTATTACCGGCGTTTCAGTGGCCGGTCGGCACGTGAAAAGAAACACCGTGTCACCATTATTATTCTAATTTTATACTAGAAATCCGTAAAACATCTGATAAAAACGGTGAAACAGTTTATTTTCACGGGGCGACCGGCCACGAGAACGCCAGTGGGACCGTTTTTTCACCGTTTTTTCTAACAGTGTAGAAAAAATTATACTAGTGGAAAAACATGAAAAACGTTTGTTGTCCTATTATTTAATTCAGTTGTGGCCGTTTTAGCGTCGATGCATTTGCAAGAAGATGCAGGATAATTATCTTTTGGTAGGAGCAACAACAATAATGCGCGGAGAAACTTTGGAGTAAAGGAGGTAAAATAAAATTGCAAACTATTTTGTGGGAACAGTCGCAATGTAAGGAGTGCTTCAGTCAGACTATTTTCCAAGTCTTGTTACTGTTGTTTCCTATCATAGAAAAATAATGTCAGGTCTCCTTGGAAAGTCAATGACAATCAGAATTAAGAAAAAGAAATCAAACTTCATCTAAACATCAATGCATGGATTATGAGTTAAAAACGTTTATACTCAGTGAGATTGAAAAGTTATATCCCAGCGATCGCGACAGAAGTTTTGGCAAACGGTTTAACCTGGAGACGAAGGAAATTTTGAAAGTACATTCGTAATGCCTAAAAAAGGACGGCGAATAAACAATAATAATAATAAATGATGGGTTGAGTGTGATATTGACTCAGAGGTATGAAAAGTTTTGCTATGCTGTTGTGTGATCATGTGATGAGTTACCGCCCCAGTTAGTTCATGTATCACTGGTTAGGTAGCACCACTGACTATTGTAACCATAAAGCCTAAAACAATAATTAATGATGAATGGGAAGGAATACCGTTGAATACCGTCAGCAAAAACCCATAGTTATGGACATCAAGCTAATTCTGTAAAAATAAAAACGAACATGAGATTTTTTATGCAGTCATACCCTTTCATGAATAGACGTTTTGCATATGAAGGCAGTATGGGTTTCACTTTATCCTCTATTGCTGGCCCGTTCGTTAGAACAATCCTGCAATAAGCTGAATTGTCAATGAATTAAAATAAGGCCAATAAATTGTGAATATTCATTCAAATTTTGCAGTCTTATTTCGAAGATTTGTTAACTGAAGGTGATTAAAAGCGGCACATATCACGGTAAAAGGCTTAACCATGAAAGCACACATCAACGCTGACCGCTTCTCGATTTACTTGTCACAGATCTAAATTCTTAGACTCAGTGCAGTCGCTAACCTGCTTCTCTGTTTTTGACAAAGCAAAAACAAAGTCCACCACCTTCCGCGAATACTTGGCTTACACATGGATTAATTTAAAAATAACAAATTTTCTATTCAACATCTTCCTACGATTTCACGTGTCAAATGTGTGTGATTAATTCAGACTTCATGGCAACAAGAATGTTAGTGTTTATTTTTAGTGACTGAGGCTTCAGAAGTTGGTAAAAAATACAATTATTTTGGCTAAATTTCAGTGAAAGTTGAAAGATCCTCTAATTCCCTTTTAAGTAGAGTTCAGTTTTTTTCAAAGTAGCAACATTTCCGCTGTTATAGTTATAGTAATATTTTGTATCTAAGGTAGGGTAGACCTCTAACAAATTTATTATCTTATTTTCCATATTGTACAACTTCTAAAATAATCCTTTTTTGGTAGGAAAATTAGTTTAGTATTCTCTGAGAACTTAATATATCCTAGCTTATACACTGAAATTTTGGGCGAGCATTTATACTTGGATCGTACAGTTGAAAATAATTTGCCTGCGACGGAATAAATATAATTACTGTTATTGGATACACTAACTTGACATGACAGCTTAAATAGAGGTACAGTTATTTGCTCTATAGTCTAATTGTTACGCGTTTCACGTAAACCAGTTAAATCATAACCATTGTTATTATTAAAATGCAACTATAATTTAAAACTCGAATCATTTTTATAAATATTATTTTCATATAAGGATTGAATTCTCTTTAACTTCTATGAAATCCCTCGAAATTGCTAACATCGCAGCTCACGAAACTTCGTTGTTAATACAAGCGTGAGGCACAGTTCAACAGTTTCAGCACCCTGACCAAGAAGGAATGCGATAGGGCAACATGGGGCAGCGCGCCCCCCCTTTTTTTAAACTAAATTTTGATGAAGTTTTAATTGATACGAGGTAATCTTTGTTTTGTTTAAAAGTACAACTAATGAGGAATGTGTGATGTGAATTAGACGCCTATTGAGTTATTCAATTTTTAATGAAACACTATTATGTAAAAAGTTTCAAAATGGGCCCATTGCCCCACCCCTGGGGCAATGGGCATATGGCATTGGGGCAAGGCGCCCACCATTGGTCCCTTTACCACAATTGCATATTTTTCGTTTAAAAATGATAAAACAACACTTTACAGTTAAAAATAAGAAAAATGTAATAAAAA